CCCACCTCACAGGGTGTCTGTTGTGGGGAGGGGAAGGGAAAGGAGTTTGTAAGCCGCTCTGAGACTCCGAGTGAAGGGCGGGGTATAAATCCAATCTCCTCCTCCTCCAATTTTATTGCACAATCTGTTTTTGTAGCCTACCCATGAAATAAAGCCTTAATAAGGAGAGCACAATGCAACAGACAAAGCAATTCTAGCCGTAAAATACATATCTTAATGCAACTAAGTAAATGGATATAATTAATGCCTATGGTATTTTGAAGTTGTTTGGTTATTTTACTATTTCCCAGAAGTGATGGTACCTGCATTTACAGGAGTTAATTATTTAACACTGTTAACTCATACTGGCCTGGGTAAATAGTTACCTCTTAATGTAAACCCCCAGCCCCCTCTGGTATGCTATCGTCACGGGTCACATTCCCTTATACAGTACAGTCTTAGTACTCTTCACAAATGCTGAACAGACTGGCTGTGTTAGCAGTCCTGGAAGGTGCTTACAAACTCACCACTAGGTTTCTAAAGCAGAATAACCACTGTTCTCAAAGCACAACTGTTTTATGAAGTTCAAGCTAAGTCTTGTTCTGCCATGCAAAAAAACCCCATGTGCATGTGATCATTTTTGATTGGCAACAAAAGCTGCTTCCTCTTGAGAGCTATAGAACAGTGCCATTAATACTATGCAAATGTAAGGGGTCCTTTCTGCATGAATGAATGAAACAGCAGTGAACAAGGAAGACTAGAGCCCTAGTGCTGAAAGGGGGGAGCTTACAACCTTCAAATAAAAATAAAATCTAAAAAGAGAAGCTTCTTAAATGAAGTGGGTGTTAGCCTCATACTGCTTATCCTCTTTTTAAACAGCTGCAGGAGCACATGTGTTAAAGCAAGTATGTGCTCACCCTTTCCTTGACTAAAAATTACAAGTCTACAGTTAGGAAACACAGCTTATATTAATTTCTGGGTGTCAGTGAAAAAAACCCATCCCCCCAGTCAAAAAGGGTGGCCAGGTCCCCTTGCCGTCATAGCAGGGGGATTTGAGGGGCATATGAGTGATGTCATCGTGCACAACACTCTGGTTTGGGGCAAACCTCTATGGTTTTTTTGCCTTCAAAACCATAGAGTTTGCCCCAAAACCAGAGCATCACTGTGCAACATCCCCAGCATAATGACATCACTAGGGAGTACTGTAATCATGTCAGGGACATCGTGCGATGATGACGTCCCTGTTTGGGAGTGGGGTTTACCCCACCGGCCAGGTTGCCGGCGGCAAAATGAAGCCTCCCAAAGCAGAGAAACCCCTGCTGGGACCTGGGGCTGGTAACCCTACAATTAAAAAAATGGAAATGTCCGAAGGAGGAGTTTCTGTAACCTTTGCTGAAAATGTAATCCATTCCATTTTTAAAATCATATTTCTTGCTAGCAAATTAAAATCCTCCCTTGTCCAATCTGAGACTGGTGGGAATTACCATATCTCTCCATTCTGTTATATATGTAATTCGTCTTGCTCTTCACCAGAGTGCTAGCTACTGTCATGAGACAAACTTAATATCCATAATTTCAAGCCAGGCATATTTCAAATATCCCCTTCTAGGAAAACTGCACAAATTTTCAGTTTTTTCAGTTCTGACTTAGCAGTTTTGAAACACCAAGAGTGGGGCCCAATGCTGAAGCATAAATTTGTTGTTGTTCAGTCGCACAGTCGAGTCCGACTCTTTGCGACCCCATGGACCAGATCACGCCAGCAGGCCGCCACCTTCCTGTCTTCCGCCATCCTCTGAAGTTGGCTCAACTTCATGTTCCTTGCATCTATGACACTATCTAACCATCTCATCCTTTGCCGTCCCCGTCTTCTTTGACCTTCAATCTCCCAGCATCAGGGTCTTCTCCAGTGAGTGCTCCCTTCTCATTTGGTGGCCAAAGTATTTGAGCTTCAGTTTCATTATCTGGCCTTCCAGGGAACAGTCAGGGTTGATTTCTTTTAGGATTGACTAAAAGAAGCATAAATTACTACATTTTAAAACCCTCCCCAGATCATAAGGGACAAAGAAATAGGAACTCATCACCAACTCTATAGTTAATAAAAGACTTCTGGAGGGCTTCCACAAAAGCTAGGGCTGCCAACTATTGGTTGGGAAACACCTGGAGACCTGTGGGTGGAGGCTGGGGTTCAGAAATGAGAGGGACCTCGGCACAGCATAGTGCCATAAAGTCCACCAAAGCAGCTGCATTCTCCAGGGGAACTGATCTCTGTTTTCTGGAGATCGGTTGTCATAGGGTTAACAACCCTAACAAAATCTTCCCTGTGTTTCTTTTACTATTTATCCAATGGCCTGGGTATAGAAAGGGAAGAGGAAACTGGAAGGGTCTTGGCACTAAAGGAGGCTGGGATGACAGAATCATGCAGAGTGACAATGTACTGTTCTTCACCTTTCATGCTGTCTTACCAACTTAGAAAGCTTTTTTCAAAGTGAAACAGAAATCAAGTAACACCTTTAAGACTAATCAAGTTTATTCCAGTATAAGCTTTCATGAGTCAGAGCTCAAAGATTTTCCATCCTATATGCATGTGA